AGATGACATATTAGATATATAATTTATCTACTCATCAACTACTTAGCAATTAGTGTGATCCTAGAGTAGACGAGCATCATTATTATAGAGTAGGACATTTTATATTTAAGCCTGGATCTACAAAATATTTATGGAGGATGATCACAATGTGTCAACTGAAGTCATAGTACGATATGGCCAGTCAGTATATTAAAAACAACAGTGGCATAGACTAAAGCATCGATAATCAAGACATCCCCATGTGCTCAAAGAATTGAAATCTAGAGGGAGATAGCCATTAGAGACAGTGGTGGAAGAAGGACAGGAAGATTTCCTTTGACGCACGAAACTCCTGATAGGCAAGCGGTCGTGACGGCATGATACAAGAGTGTTCCAAACTCCTATAAAATAGAAAAACAGAGTGCTTTAGTAGATGAACCATTTCATTTGAGTTCAAACTTGTAACACAGACTCATGCAAGTTCCCTATTCTAGTTAACATGTAAAATCTGAAAGCCAAACTCTTTCATTGAGAACGTGCATGTGCCTCCAGTATCAGTAGTATGAGTGAACGGTGATATTATATACAGAAGGTACTCGCATATTTTTATTTTCATAAAGAAAAATAATGAAAACCAGAGAGTGCCTGCTAAAACAAGGGCAAATATACACTATAAAAGGTCTTCATTGCATGAGTTGATAACCTACACCATCACAACAGTGCTGTCAGACATGAAGCCATGTCTTCTTTTGTATAATCACCCAATAGTTCTGTTGCAATGTCTGGGATTCAAACTCTCTGGGTACATAGAAGTGTAGTAATAAAGGCAACAATAAATAGTGATACAATAATTTACTTTCTTTTGACCTTCAATTTTTACTAAAATTATGGTAACTTTTTTCACTGTCAATAGAAGCAAGTAATTCAGCTAATACTCTTAATTGGATAGACTGCTCACTGGAATACATTTTTGCAGCCTTCGACCACAAATCGAGCTTTCTTCATGGCCGCTCTCACTTTAGTTCGACTGGCAAGTCCTTCATGGCTGCTCTCACCTTTTTAGCTTGTAGCCACCAGCTAGATGCACATAGCACAATGAAAAAAAGGTCACCAGGAGATACCTCGGTGATGAACTGAACATGCTATAACCCTGAAACCACAAATAACTTAATTCTTAAGCTTCCTAAAAAGGGGAAAACTTACTATGTCAGTCCCATACATATAGTCACAACATGTATGCAGAAAATGTACAGATAGGAAAAGGTGGAAGGAAATACAGAGAACACAATGGAACAAAAGTAAGCCATTTTTTCACCTAACAGTTATTGTCAAATGCAACAAGAACATGCGTGCATTTTCTTGAAATGTACATATAAGAAAAAGGCAAAAAGAATATATATTACGCATTGCAGTGACACATAGTCAGTGATCCTCTGGGCTATTGCATGAGTGGAGAAGCCAGCAAGCACGACATAGAAGTCACATAAAAGGCTATCGCCATATTAGCATGTAGATCAAAATTATTGAATAGATATCAATCTGTTGGGTGGATGGGACGAGCTACACTTACTGTCATCTCGAACTGGCCAATAATGCTGAGTGGGCATCAACACCCTTGAAAAGAAGTCGTAGTATTTTGGTTTAATCACAAGCTATGATATACTTCTCACTAACTGGCCATGCTGATCCTTCAATGTAGATCTTGTACCTATCAACCAACACAACAATTTCAGTATCAACAACATAACAAACAAGTCCCCACCAAACTTTTAATGGAAGAAAACAAACCTATGGGTGCATAGACTGGCCAATATGATTTCTTGTATCCTGCCTTGCTCTCTTTGATCCAATCCTAAATGAGAAGGCAAAAGTAAACACTATAATCAGCCATAGGAATCATCAAAATTATTTTCTTTGGGAAAAGGCTATGTTACAGATCGGAAGGATGAGAAGAATTTTTAAAGCAACAAGATTTGACAAGATATAATAGGATTTTTCTACTTGTGAAAATAAATGGAATGTTAACACTCCATTCAAGTATAACAGAGTGCAGTGCAACGTAAACACAAACAACTACTGTACCTGTTTGTAGATCCGTGTATTTCATTCTTGTTTACTGGAAACATTACACTTGATAAGCTCTGGCCTTATAGTTGTAATCTCTGGATTCCCTTTCCAGTAAGGCATAAGGTGCTCTATCTATCCATCTCACCCTCTTATTTCCAGCATTCAAATCCTTCTGCAGTGCATCCCACAGCTTTATATTGATCTAGGCCCTGTAAGTATAAATATAATCAACAATAGGTAGACAAAGAACACAATAGCCATCTAACTAAATATGATTAGCACTTCATTTAATGCACAAGTACTTTCCAGATTCCATCATCCTACATTCTTAAGAAGTTGATCCCCACTACTAACAATTTTCACAACATGCACACTATCAATATCACCATCATGCCACATCAGCTTTCATGGTCCTGCATCAGCATCATTGCCACATAAGCTTTCACGGTCCTGCATTCTGTTTTCCTGCCGTGAATGTGATACTGTGCTTTAATTTCTCCTCCATATGCATCCCTTCATCTTCATCTTCTGTAACTGAGTTGTACATGGGTCATACTCATAAATAAATATTCATCCGCTGTAGAATGGATGAACGGTGGAGTCCCATCTCCCTCCAATACATGCTCAAGCATCCACCCAACGGAGATCTTGCCCCTTCCTCCATGGATATCTCAGCTGTGCGACCACCACCGCACCACCTACCATACGAGGAGCAGCCCGACATAGACTCTCCATCTCTGCAGTCCTTGAGCGAGATAGGCGAGAACGTGCCGCCGCCGGCGAACCCCGGCCGTAACTCCTCGATAACTAATAACTGGACGGCGTTCGAGCGTCAACTCGCCGGCACCAGAACCAGCCACGTTGTGCCCTGAAGATGAACGCCAGGTATATACTGCGCCATAGATGAAAACACCCATCTTCCCTCCAATTAAAATCATGCAGGCTCCATAGAAGATGAGGTGGCAGCTACAAGAACGTTGCCCCACTCCATGTTGGACGACCCAGCCGCAACGCCTTCCCCTAGGTCCGGCAGTGCTGCCTTTGGGCTTCTCCAACAGTCCGTCCTTTGGTTTCAGAGAAGATCAGAATGGAATTTCAGGCCAACGGGCAGACGGGTGCCTGTGGTGTGGAGTGGAGTAGTGGACTATGGAGGACGTCACGATGCCACCAAGTTCTAGGGGCGCATCCACACATCATGTGAGCAAGATCATAAAGCCGTCGTAGTTGTTGATTTGGTCGATGGCGGGGGACGTGCCGCGGGTGTCATGGACGCCGATAGCCAACTATCCCTGAATCCATCAGATCAATTGAATCGTCATTTTGTCAGTCGTTCGTCACTCACCCAGTACTGCAGACGTCGCCAATCGTCGGGTCGCTGCATGTCTGGTCGCCGTTGCCGATTGCGTTTGCGTCCAATGTTGTGACGTCTGCTGTTCTGCCCACTGGTGTCCGTAAACGTGCGCTACCAGTCTGATCATCGTCACAACAGGCATCCTCTCCCGAATACGTACAAGAAGCTTTGCTATGTCTGCTTTGCCTATCAGACAGACATCTTCGCTCTGCAAAGTAGTTCAGTTCAGTTCACTCTCAAAAAATGGGAAATCATCTACAGATGCACAAATAGTTTTGCTTGACATGCCAACAGGGCATCCTCTCCAGAAGTATTTGGTAAATTATTACTCCTGTTATCAATACTCACACAAACATTTTATTCAGTATATTTCTTATGTGATAAGTGAACTCACAAGGGCACATGTAGTTTTATCAGTGTGCTTCTTTCTTATGAGATCTGAACTCAAGAATTCAGTGAGCATGAACAGCTATGATTTTCTTCAATGATTTGCTAATTAAGATACCCCTCCTTGCTATGATTCATTTCATTTTTATCTTGCACAAGTAAACTGATCTTACCTGGTATTTCTTACCAGGGTAATTACTCAATACAAATTTAGTCCCGAACTTTCGGCCAGCAGAACAGATTTAGAGGTTACCTTGGCAGGCAACAGATGGCGGTGATGTTGAGCACCTTGGATGGTGGGCATCCTCCTTCAGGAGATGGGATTGGAGCAGCTTCTCCTCTCCATGAAACATGCACAAAAGCTGATGGCACCCATCACATAGGGGGATGAAGAAAACCAGACGAGAGGAGATATTCGTACCTCCTGCCTGCTCGGTTTCCACGGGCGAAGATGCTTCAAGAACCTTGCAGCAGAGAAGAGAGGGCGCTTCACGAACAGAGCACCAACTCCAATGGCCATGGCAGAGGAAGAGAGGGAAGTGATGGAGAGGGGCAGAGGGCACCTTGTCCGTGGTGTCGGCACTTGGGTTAGCGCTGCAGAGAGCACCCTCGTCACGCGGCTTAAACCTAAATCGGGGCGCTCATGCCGCCGTGGCCGTGGATCCCGATCTGCTTCTCGATCTGGGGCGAAGGGGAGGCGAGGAGGTCGCCTGGTGGTCGAGAGGAGAGAAGGGGTGGGGCGCAGGCTGTGAGGGAGGTCGCTGGTGGCGGCGGCGACGACGGCTGTGGGGATGGTGGCGGCAAACGAGGGAGAGGAGAAGAATTTGGGGAACGGGATGCGGGGTGACGACGAGAGAGATGGGGCGGTCCTCGTGGGGTCCAGTGCCTACGTGGCCATCGCGAGAGGGCGCTCCTTACGCGACTGTTAATGGGTTGTATTGTCCAACTCCGTGACTAACTATATTAATCAAGGTCAAGAAAAAACTAAGTGATGGGTACCCATCATGTAGGAACAATGAAAGAAATTCACAAGCACATCCAAGTAATATAAGCAGTAGTTTATATTGGACAAATGAATGAATATCTACACAAATCAACAAATATAAACCACTATAGAACAAATTAATGAATATCTACAACAATATGTATCTATACAAATAATATATAGTGTTTGTCGGTCTCATCAAATTTGAATAGTAAGGAATGCCCCAAGTCTCTAGAAATCAACCCCACCATTCTGCCGAAGCCTGGTTTTGCGCTCCTCCGACAACATGTGTGCGAAATTGACCAACTCCTTCTCGTTTGTGCCCCTGTTCTGGTCAGGCTCGTTCTTGCCCGTCTCAACGTTCACCTTGCACACTTGCCTCTTGAGAAGTGCTTGGCCCACGTCGACGAGCCGGTTGAGATTCTCTGGCGTGGACACGTCAACGAAGGCCGTTTCTCCCTTGAGCTCATCGTCTTGGATCCGGAGGTAGCGCTTCTCGCAGTGCAATGCCTGGAAAAGCACAGACGCGTGGATGTCGACAAGGTCCGCGCTGGCCTGGCTGAAGCTGTCGATAATGGGTGTGGCGCCCCTGTTGGAGAGCCACCCGAGGAGGCCCCACTTGCTGCATTCGACGGCATCGAATTTCTCTTCGATCTTGGCGGTGCCGGTGCCCAATGAAAGGATCATGAACTTGCCGTAGTCCGCCGGCTTGATGGGGAAAAAGTCCTTGTTCCCCATGAGTATCTGCTTGCTTACATCCGTCATAGCCAGCAGGGTCTGTATCAATGCCAGTGTGTCAAATAAAGAACGAATGATACATAAACATCACATCGAGATAGGTCAACTGTTATACTAGCTTATAAGCCTAGTTTAGATTATCAAATCTCACCGATGTTGCTTGTCGTGTTGGAACTTAGAACAAAGGACTCACCGGATTGTTTGCAGCGACCCCACCGTCGATGAGGTTGAAGTCCCGGAGCTTGCCGTCCTCGTCCTCTGTCTGAAAGTGGTGGCCGGGGAGGTAGGTCGGTGCAGCGGACGTGCTGATGCAGACGTCCGACCGAAGAGCGTTCTTGGACTTATCCTTCATGGCCTACAGGCTACATTCAAGTTCCATATAGTTCAGTCATTCAATGGGCGTGGTGCAACTGTGCAAGCAACACGCGTGCATGCATGTACCAATAATGGGTGACAACTGACAAGCACGCTACTAGGAATAGCTTATTAATCTATTCTTCACACATCACATACGTTGTAAGTGGAGAAGATGGTGGGCTGCAGGAGCTTGATGTCGAAGGTGGGGATGACGACGTTGTTGAGCGTGTCGCAGACCGTGTGTCGCCGAGGAGCTTCTTCACGATCGTGTGGAGGTACACCGTACTCGCCGTTGTACTTGGGTCCCGTCATGCTCCTCATCAACCCAAATGGCCCTTTGCTGCACGCACCACAGAACAGTAAATTGCTCAAAACCATCACATTTGTGGATAGGGTATTTCAAAACTATCATTTTTACCAAAAATTACAAAAAATATCAATTCTGTGGCAAGTGAGGCACTGGCGGAGGGCTGTTGCCCCCC